GATTTCTTTCCAGGCTCTGAGTAATGAGTCCCCTACTCCACGGTAGTAGTCTACCTATCCTGCACTCTCCTGCGTCATTTGCCCAGTTATGTTTGAGGCAGTTGAGACTGGGAGGTCCAGGTTGTGGGGTGGGGATGTCTTCTGATAGGTTCCTATATAGATAGGGCCTTCATTGTAGGCTCAGGAAGATGAAACCCACTTACTGTTCCCAGCTGTAACATTGTTTCCTTTGTCTGGCAAAGGTGAGGGAAGCTCTCCAGCCTTTCAACAGCTGCAGGGAATGGAGGGGGAGGAGGAGTTTGAAGCTAAGAATCTATTAGTTGCCTGGTGGTGACCCCATCCCTGTTACCAAGAGGGGTGGAGTCCTTGTCCCCAGAGGTCTTTCAGGAGATGGTAGATAATTATATCTCCTCTAGTAGGTCATCTCTTGACAGCATCCCAAGACAGTTAAGACTGTTTCCTGTTCTCATGACCCCTTTGCCCAAAGGCTTCTGTGAGCAACTCAGTCTTCAGGTAAAATGGGAGACAGGAGACAACAAGATCATATTCAGGCCGAATAAAAGATTTGAAGAAGTTGTCACTTCTGTCTGTCCATTTTTGCCAATAAGGCTGGTGACTTTGAACCTTGTACCAGGCAGATTGGAACCATAGTGTTTAAGGTGATGAGTAGAGAGAGCATCCTGGGGGAGACTTAGAGTCTGCCCCACACTTCTCAGCCTTGAGCCACCTTCCCATCCCAGACAGAGGAGGTACTCCACTTTACCAGCCCCAGGCCAGAAAGTTAGTCTTCTGAGAGGAGAGCTACAAAGATAGAACAAGAAAAGACCAGTGATCTATGAAACATAAGCACAGATGAGACAGAGAGCAGGAACTAGAGCTGGTTCTTTTTTGTGTGTGTCTTTTTGAGACAGGGTCTCCCTGTAGCCCCAGCTGTCCTGGAACTTGCTATGTAGACCAGGCTGGCCTCGAACTCACAAAGACACCCTGCCTCTGTCTCCCAAGTGCTGGGATTAAAGGCATGTGCCACCATGCCTGGCTTAGAGCTGGTTCTTAATGGAGACCAACAGAAAGAGAAAAGTCAATGGTGCAGGAACCTTCTCCCATCTTTCAACAGCTGCAGGGGCAGAGGAGGAGTCAGAAGCTAGGAATATATTAGCTGCCTGATGGTGACCCCATTCCTGTTACCAAGGGAGTGGTGGAGTCCCTGTCCTCAGAGGCCTCTCAGGAGATGGCAGATAATTATATATGGGTCTCTAGTTTGATATGGCTCTGTCTCCAGGCAAGTGGGGAGTATGTGGCCCCTCCAAGGTCCCTTTATCTGTCCTGTAGCCGTTTACCACTGGACAAAGAAAAACCAGAAGGCTGTCACGTAATTATTTGTGATGTATGCTTTCTTTAGCTTTCTTCAGCTTTCTTTACAGGCATCTAAAAAAGTCTCCTACGCTCAAGACCAGAAAATAGTTGATTTTACTCTTGACCCTGCCTCCATCTTTTATTTAAAATAATCATAAAACTTCCAACCTTCTGAAAATCCTTTTTCAACTCTACAAGAACAGGCTGTTTAGTTTTTACTGGAAATGCCTACGTTTCTCTCCAGTTAAAAGAGGGCAGGGTGTGTAGGAATATTAATGCAGAGCATTGAAATGAAGCTCTTAATTTAAAAGGAATGTGAGAATTAATGCTTGAGTTTAGTCAGAGCCTGAATCATCACAGATAGATTTTTTTTTTACCCTCTTCTTCTTAATCAATTTCATCCTAATTAATTCTTTCTGTGGCTAAGTCTTGTTACATTAGACAGTCTGCTGATTATTTTCACAATCAAGAGACTGTATATTCATGCATTTTTAATAAGGAGCGACTGCATCCTTTTTCATAAGTGATCCCTCTGGTTGGCAGTTGCAGCCACTAAAATAATTATAGAGCAGATTACTTACTTTTACAGCATTGTTTGCCATCATATTTATCCTAGGTGACAGTTTGGAAGAGGTCTGGAGCCTGTTCTAATCCAGCAGAGGACTGGGTACTTAATGTGGCAATCTTCAATGTCAAGAGCTGTTTATTCATAGGTCATTGACTTTTAAAAAATAAACACAGGGATAATTTGGTTTGCTGCCTAATGAAGCCACATCCTATAGAGCTGAAGGCCATTCTAATTGTATGCTTAGTTTAAAGCCTTCACTCTTGGGAGGAACTCCTTCTAAAGGCCGACTCCCATCTCTGCCTCCATCTGTGACTGACCTCCGCTGCTTTTTCATACATGATTATTATTTACGTGGTAGGGTGCTCTCATCCCAGACCTTGATGCCCCCTGTGAGCTTGAAAGGCAGAGGCAGGGTACACAGTAATTCTAAAGCTTCAACTGTTTCCTGTTTAGCAAGAGTCGGGGACAATCTATCCAAGGGAAAAAATTGATTTTGTTTTGAGAAAAACACTTGGCCTTTGGTTATTGGTTATGTGGTATGCTCAGAGCTGACTCTGAAATGGACAGTTTGAGACAGGAGGAAATCAATGTCCATGCATGCTAATATAAAAGACCACAGGCTGGCAAGATGGATCAGCAGGGAAAGGTGCTGTGTCTCACTTCAATCAGGCTGAGTTCTTCAACTTCCCTTCTGCCTTCTGTGCTAGGGAGCCTTGGTTTGAGTGGACGATGCCAGGAAGGTCAAAGTACAGTGTACGTGTGTGTGTGTGTCGAGGGGGCTGTATTTCTTAAGAACATCAGGATCCTTCTGGACTATATGTAAGGAACTATTTTTGTTCATTTTTCCCTTATTCTTTTTTAAAAAATTTATTTTTATTATTTTATGTGTATGTGTGTAAGAGTGTATTGTCTGCATGCTGTAAGTGCACCCATGTTGTGCAATGCCTGCTGAGGTCAGAAGAGGGTTTTGGATCCCCTGGAACTGGAATTATAAATGGTTATTAGCCATGTGGGTGTTGGGAATCGAACCCAGGTCCCTGCAAGAACAACCAGTGCTCTTAACCACTGAGCCATCTCTCCAGTGCACCCTCCCTCCTTATTTTTTATACCATTTCCTTCCTTCATTTTCTTCTTCCTCTGTTGTTTTTCAGTCCCTCATCTGTATCAATCACAGAATTTGCCATAGAAAATAAAACTAGATTGAAGGGATTAGAGGTACTGAAGAAAGTCCCTCTACCAGCATACTTCAAAAAGTAATTTAACCCTACCATCTTGAGTAAAGCTTTCAAAATTAAAGGAAGGGGTTCTTCAAAGGAAGCCTGTAGCCCCATCACTGTTTATCAAGCTCTAGGGCCATTATAGAATAGACAAAATTCCAACCCAAGAATCAGGCTGGCTCTTCCCTTCCGCTAAGGTATCTGAGCTGCCTGGAGGGAGTTATAGCAAGTATCAGCCCCGAGGGCAGGTACTGAGTCACACTGGTATATGTAAAATAGTGAATTGGGAGATCTAGGTTGAGTTTGGGACTTGACTACATGTGAGCTATTTGAACTGGGGTGGACCTTTAACCACTTTGGACTGAAAAGGGTGCTGAAGTCAGGTGTGGTGGCACCAGCCTTTAATCTCAGCATTTAGGAAGCAGAGGCAGATGGAGCTCTGTGAGTTTGAGTTCAGTGTGGTCTACATACTAAGTTCCAGGCCAGCTGGGGCTACATAGTGACACCATATCACAAACAACAACAACAACTACACCAAGAAAATATTTTGAAGAAGCAAGTTGTGTAAACAGTTAACCTCAACACAGAAGACAGTATCACTATTTATTTATTTAAAATTATATGGCACAGTGCACATATGGAGGTCAGAGGACAACTTGTAGGAGTCAGTTCTTTCCTTCCACCATGATGGTCCTTGTAGGAATGACTTTTTTGGACTAATGACTTTTTTTGGTCTTTTTGAGACAGGGTCTCCCTGTAGCCCCAGCTGGCCTGGAACTCCCTAGGTAGACCAGACTGGCCTTGAACTCACAGAGATCCACTTGCCTCTGCCTCCCAAGTGCTGGGATTAAAGGCTTGAGCCACCATGCCCAGCTGACTAATGACTTTTAATTAACCCCAACAAAAACTACAGTGCTCTTTGTGTCTTGTGGCCTGGGCACTTGTTCTCATTTCCTTGGCAACCTCTATTTGGTACTCCACCCAAGATAATGAATGGATGTATGTCTGCTTGAAAATTAACATAACAAAGCACCTAAAGGCAGCACCCACCTCCTTTGTACCCAGTGAAGACTGAGAAGGACATGTGACCTTGGATGAATGAGGGTTTTTTTTTGTCTTTTTGAGACAGGATCTTTCTGTAGCCCCAGCTGGCCTGGAAAACTCTATGTAGACCAGGCTGATCTGGAACTCATAGAAATCTCTACCTCCTGAGTGCTGGGATTACAGGTGTGCACTACTATGCCCAACTTGAATGAGATATTTTATAAGTAAGGATGAAAAGGCTACATGGTCTGTTTAGAGTGGAGCAAAGGTTGTACCTCCTCAATTAAAACTGGAGAAACCACTTTGAATAAAATCATGGGTGGTGCCTGACTCAAGGACACAGTTCCAGGGATTGAGTTCCAGCAAGACAGTTTGATCAGCATAGTTCCAAGAGAAAGCATAGCTCCAAGAGCTATCTGGGGGAACAAGTGCTGAGTTCAGGACTGCTCTTAACTAAATTTAAGAGTCAGGCTTTTTTGTTCAGGTAATTGCAATGTTGGTATAGTAATGCCACAGGTCCTGGGGACTGAACTCAAATCATCAGACTTGGCAGCAAGCACCTTTACCCCCTGAGCCATCTCACTGGCCTCTCACTACTGTTTATTTTTTAATTGCCATAATCATTTCCAGCTCTTCTCACCAGGTTTTGCTCAGTGTAGACTTCATATGTAACTGATCATTTTGGATTTTTCTGCATGAAGTTTTTATCGGTCAGTTTGGGTAAAACTATGCTGTGTGACAGACAACCAAGAACAAAGGATTACTTCTACCCATACATGTCCATTATCCAGCACTATTCCATGTCCTCTCCATTCCAGGCTGAAGAAACAAGACCCCCTCTGCAGGCATATTTCCCTGTGTCAATGGAAAGGAACAACAAGGAGGCTTCTCAGTGGGTCTTAAAATCACTTGGATGTGATGCATGTAAGTTCCATTGTGAAATGAAAACACATGACTGGCATCAGCATTGGTAGGTGGTATCCTCTTTCTATGAGGAAGAGCCTGTATCTCGAGGTATGTGGAGTTAGAATTTTTGTCATTGTGACAAATAGCTAAGAGAAAAAATTTAAAAGGAAGGAAGATTTATTTTGGCTCACAGTTTTTGGGATTTCGGTGCATGGTAGGCTGGCTTGGCTGCTTTGGGTCAGAGGTGAGGCAAAATATCATGGTGGTAGGAGTTTGTGGAAAGAGGCTGACTGTCCATTTCATGGTGGACAGGAAGCATAGAGAAAGGAAAGGACCAGTATCTTTCCTCAAAGGCACATCTCCTAATGATCCACTTCTTCCAGAGAGGCCCCACTTCCTAAAGTTTCTACTGCCTCCCAAAATACCACCAGCTGGGACCAAGCCTTCAATATGGGTGTGGGGGAGTGCAATTTATAGTTTGTTATAGTCACACTATAATAAAGTAGTAGCTAATAATCTTTTTTTGTGACAGGGTCTCCCTGTAGCCCCAGGAAGCCTAGATCTCGCTATGTAGACCAGGCTGGCCTTGATCTCACAGAGATCATCCTGCCTCTGCCTCCCAAGTGCTGAGATTAAAGGTTGGTACCACCATGCCACATCTATGCACATAGTTTTGAATAAATAATATAGTCTATCCAGAGTGGTTTCAGATTAAAATTCTCTATGGCTTTAGATATACTAATTGTTATGTAATAATAAATTGTATATTATAAAGTTTGTTGTCCATTAAATCTGCATGGATGCTTACCTGTCTACTTAAATTTTGCCCATCCTTCAGTGTCTGCATTGAGTCTTACCTCCTCCATGAACCTTCTTTATAGACCCATCACTGCATTTATTGCCTCTACAATTCATTCTGCCTCTATTGCCAGGCTTTTACTTGCTACTGTTCCACTTGTGGAAGAGTGTATCTCTTCCACAGGAGACTGTGGAAGTCCTCAGAAAGAGAGTTACATTATGCATTCCACCAGGGATCTGTTACTTCAATCTGTTCATGGAACGTACTCAGTAAGAACTTAGGGAGTAAAGTTAAATGCCTTGGCATAGAATTTTATTTTTAGGGAGTAGTCCTACATGCTAATGTGACCCTATTCCCACTTTTACAGATGGAGAAATTGAGGGTCCAAAGAATATAAAGGTATTCACACAATTAGGACTGGCCTTCCAGTCCTCTGAGTACCCCAGGACTCTTAGTACCTAAGCTTCATCTCACCCTTTGATAGCGTGCATGTCCAAAACATATTTTTTCTTTCTTATGTGTGTGTGTGAGGGGTACATGTGTGTCCACATGGGTGTGTCTTGCATGGGTGTGTATACACATGTGGGGGGGGACAGAGGACAGCCTCACTTGTTCCTTGGGAACCACCCACCATGTTTTTTGAGACAGGGTCTTTTATTGAAGCTCATTAATTAGTGAGCCCAGGGAGTCACCTATTTCAACCTACCCAGCACTGTGTGGTATTTAAGCATGGCCACCACCACACACTGTACGGACTGAGCTTTCCTAGCCCACATTTACTCTTCATGGGTCATTTCTAAGATCCATTTCTAACTTTGTTTATGGTCTTATACCTGTGGTAAAATAAGTGACATCTACTAGAAGGTCAGCTGCAAGGACACCTAGAACATTGAGTTAAAGCACTAAGTAAATCTTAGTACGTTACTTAGAAAGGCCAAGATACTAAACTCTGAGCTAAATAGGAATTCATTTGTTACTGAGGTCAATGCATTTTAAAAAAAACTGCATTCTCATAAAAGCCTGAGCTTTCTGCCATGATTCCAGAGAAATTCTAGTTTCCTTCTCTTGGTAAGAAAATAGAAGCTTATGTTGGGCATGGTGGCACAGGCCCTTAATGCCAGCACTAGGGAGGCAGAGGCAGGCAGATCTCTGTGAGTTTAAGGCCAGCCTGGTCTACATAGTGAGTTCCAGGCCAGCTGGGGCTATAGGGAGACCCTGTCTCAAAAAGACCAAAAAAAAAGGAAAAAAGAAAGAAAAGAAAAGCTCAGTTTTGCAAGGCTGAAGAGCTGAAGAGAAAGAGAATACATGGAACATTTTTCTTCTCCCCTGATCTGCAATTTTGGTTTCCGAGACAGGGGTCACATCCTCTTCCTTGTCAACACCAAGGCTGCCTTCCTCTTAAGACAGTATCTCTTCCCAGTGCCAACTTCCCCTCATGGCTGGCCTGCTGCTTTGGGCTGTGCTATGACCTGAATGTGTCCTCTCCAAAAATTCATCTTGAAATTTGATTCCCATTGTGGTGGGGCCTTTAGGAGGTGAATCGGTCATGAGGGTGCTGCCCATATGAATGGATTTGTGGCTTATAAAAGTGTGTGTGTGTGTGTGTGTGTGTGTGTGTGTGTGTGTGTGTGTGGTTGAAGTCACCTGTTCTGTCTCTTGCCATATGAGTGCATAGTGTTGTCCCATCTGGAGAATACAGAAACAAGGTTTCATCTTGGAAGTGGAGAGACCAGGCTCTTACCAGACACAGAACCTGCTGATGCTTTGATTGTGGAGTTCCCAGCCTCCCAAACTGTGAAGACTACATTACCATTGTTTACAAATTTCCCAGTATCGGAAATTTTTTTTTTTTTTTGGTCTTTTTGAAGCAGGGTCTCCCTGTAAGCCCCAGCTGTCCTGAAACTCACTATGTAGACCAGGCTGGCCTTGAACTCACAGAGATCCGCCTGCCTCTGCCTCCCAAGTGCTGGGACTACAGGCATGTGACACCACGCCCAGCTCAGAAATTTTTTAAAGTAACAGCACAAAAAAGTCTAAGGCAGACTAGAAGGTAGACAATGTCTCAGAAAGTGGGTCCCTTCCCATGCTGAGCTCAACAGAGAAGGCCTCCCGGACACCCTATTCCCTCAGTTCCCTACCCTGACTCTTCCCTGCTGCTTCCCAAACATCTCTGGCCCATCCTCTTAGCTGGCAGATCTACTGCCACATGTGTCCGGTTCACTATGGACTGTAAATCACTCCATGGACCTCCCTCTCCAGTTCCCAAAGACATGCCAGATTCCTTCCTTCCTTCCTTCTGAATCTCATGTGAGAACTATTGGAAGGCTGGGATTGTAGTTCAGTGGTAGAGCATTTGCCTAGCATACATGAGCTCCTGGGTTTGATTCCCAGCTTTGGGGAAGTACGTGGGAGATGAGAGGGACAGGACTGCATGCCTTAGAAAGGATCCCTAGTTTGGACTCATCTGAATGTAATTATGGTAGAGTATGCCCCAATTTAGGAAGATTTCCAGAATTTTGTGCATAGGACCTGCTGGACAGTACATGACAGAGGAGCAAGAATGCCCATTGATGGGCTGGGCATCATGGCACAAGCGTTTAATCCCAGCACTGGAGAAACAGAGGTAAGTTGATCTCTGTGAGATCGAGGCTAGCCTGGTCGACATAGTGAGTTTCAGGCCAGCTAGGGTGCAGAAAACAAAAATAAACTAACAAATAAAATGAATATCTACCTGAGGATCAGGAGAGTTTGTGCCCACCCAGATGACTATTGGATGTCTGATTTTAACAAGTTATTTCATTTCTCTGGGCTCACTTTTCTTATTCATAAAATACTGAGAGCCTGCCTTACTGACTTCATCCAGGGGTTCATAACAGTCAAGAGCAAGAACAGATTCATTTGTTCCACAAGTTCTTTATTTTATTTCTTTTATTTCCTTATTTTGGTTTAAGTTAGCATACAAAGTAATGGACTTCATTATGGAATTTTCATGCCTATATGTTATTATACTTGTTCTTATTCATTCCCCTCCCCTACTGCTCTCCTCCATCTCTCCTGCCTCCTATTATGCTGTGCCCTGTCTATCCCCAAATAATCCCCCCCCTTTACTGTCATGTCATGTGCCTCTCTCTCTCTCTCTCTCTCTCTCTCTCTCTCTTTCTCTCTCTCTCTCGATCTCTTTGTTCCCTCTCACAGCCTCCACTCTGCTTTCAGTACCTATACATAGACACACATACATAGACATACAATATAATTTTAAATCTAGAATCCACATATAAAAGAGAATATGTATTTGTTTGAGTGACTTGTTTGCTTAACATAGATGATCTCTGGTTGCATCATTTTCCCAAAAATGGCATAATTTCTTTTTTCTTTATGGCTAAATAAAATTCCATTGCATATATGTGTAGTCTTAATCCACCTATCTGTTGATGGACATCTAAGCCAGTTTCATATCTTAGCTATTATGAATAGTGCAGCAATAAACCTGGATGTGCAAGTATCTCTGTGGTGTGCTGACTGAGAGTCCCTTTGATACACAGCCAGGAGAGGTGTATCTGGGTCAGATGGTAGTTCTATTTTTAGTTTTTTGAGGAACCCCCACACTGACTTCATAGTGGCTGTACCAGTTTGCATTCCCATAAGCAGTGGGTAATGGTTCCTTTTTCTCCACATCCTCACATTTGTTGCTTGTTTTCTTAAAGCCATACTGACTAGCATGAAATGGAATCACAAGTTGTTTTAATTTGCATTTCCTGATGGATAAGGATGTTGAATACTTTAAAAAATATTTATTGGCCATTTGTATTTCTTCTTTTGAATAAGTGTCTATTTAGTTTGTTAGCCCATTTATTGTTTGAAGAATTTAGGGTTTTTTGTGCTTAATTTTGCAGTTCTTTATATACTCTATATATTGATTCTTGTCTGATGTAGCATCGGCAAATTTTTTTTCCCATTCTGTAGCTGTCTCTTCATTCTGGTGACTGCTTCCTTTGCTGTGCAGAAGCTTTTTAATTTCATATATCTGATTTATCAGTTCTTGGGAATATTTCCTGTATTGTCAGGATCCTTTTCAGGAGGTCTTTTCCAATGCCTAAGTCTTGAAGCATTTTATCTATATGTTCCTCTAGCAGTTTGACATTTTCAGATATCACATTAAATGTCTTGATTCATTTTGAATAGATTAAAAATATATTTTCTTTATTATTTTTATTTTACA